CTCCTCCCGCGGCGCGGAGAGGAGAGGACTCGGAAGAGGACTGGAACCTGAGGTCGGCTGGAACCTGAGGTCGGCTGGAACCTGAGGTCGGCTGGCGGGTCGCCCGGGGGGTTCTGGGCTCTGCGGGCGCTGGCTCTGCCAGGTTTGTTTATAGTTCACTTTCTTGCGTCCGAGAAGGAAATCAATCTCGCCACTGAGACTAATAACAAAAAAATGACAAAATTGTGGTTCATTTCTTCCCCTTGTGGCTATTTCAGTTTGTCCTGTTATTGCTGGATTTCTTTAAAATAGCCGAGTCAATAAAACCGCAAAAATAACACCTTCATCTAGAAGTCCTAAATGTACTCACAGTACACCTTGTTTATAGTTTATATAGCTCATATTTTGATTTACAGAAATATAAAATACTTGCAGGCCGGAGACAGGAGGTTATAGGAGCAATATGCTGTCTCATGCTTTCCTCTAATACTTTTGTTTTTGTTTTTGGTAATGAAAACATTTCATTCTAGGTATTAAAATTATATGGAAAAGTAACAATAAAGTAATAATTATCTTTTCTGAAGCTTAGGGATCATTATTAAATAATTCATTATTTAAAAAAGTTTTTAAAGCAGAAAGATGAACATAGAATAAAAATCATCTGTACTCTTTCCACCGAGGGACCCAAACTTTTCTTTGCCTATATACAGTTTACAGGAGAGTCCCTCTATGTATGTTGCTTTATGACCTTATGTTTTTAGCTTAATAGATATTCTTTATGTTATAGAATGAAAAGGAAGTTACTGAATAATAAACATATACATAGTATGACCCATCTCGTCTTCACAATCCTGTTTGTATGTAGGTACAAATATAGATCCATATTTAGACACATACATGATTTGTTCTTTATTTTATTTTTTGTTTTTTTGAGACAGGGTCTTGCTGTTGATCAGGCCAGCTTTGAACTCACTATGAGACAAACTCATGGCAGTCCTCCTGCCTCGGCCTTCCAAGTGCCGGGATTACAGGCATGTGCCACCATGCCCAGTTATTTAGTTATTTTAATCAGCAGCTGTTTATTACAAGTGAGATGGAACATGTTTCCCATGCTTGGTCTATATTTTTCTTACTTTGTGATGGTCTTATTCATGTAGTTTATTTACTTTTCTAGGAATTTATGTTTGTTTTCTTTTTTTCCACTGCCATGATCTCCCACTTTTTTTTCCCACATACTGTCTTGGTCCTTTGGTGCTGCAATAACAAAACACTGAGACTGAGTAATATAGATTGAGGGTGTGGATTACAGTGCACCCCTGTAATCCCAGCACTCGGGAGGCTGAGACCCTAGGAGGATCACTGTGAGTTCAAGACCAGCCTGCATTACATAGTGAGTTCCAGGTCAGTCTCAAGTATGTAGTGAGATCCTGTCTCAAAAAAACCAAAAAAAAAAAAAAAAAAAAAAAAAAAAAAAAAAAAAAAAAGCCTCTTGGTCCAGCGTGTTTCCCCAAGGGAGGGAAGTAGCCCAAATGGGAGAATTACATGGGATTGGGTGCCACAGTCTCATTGTTCATAGATACTACATCTGTGGTGTAACACACAATTGCTAACTGCTAACACATTTTGCACTGAAGTAAAATACTGAAGTGTCTGAGTATACCGTTTTAAGCGTCTCCCACTAGAACAGAAAGAGATCATTGTGAGATGCTTAGTCAGGCCACTGGTTAGGGCTCTCTCTCCTGGTCTTCGTGGGTCTGACCGTTTCCCAGCTGACATCACAAGGACTAGAAGATGAACAGTGGATTTTGCCCCCACTGATTCATTTTTGTCCAGTGTTAGTATTTGTGAATTTATTATATAATGTAGCAAATGATGACTCAAGTAGGAAGCAGCCTCTGCTCTCCAACTCTTCCCGGATTTGGGAAAAAGGGAAAAGAAAAGCAGAAGGAGAAGGTGTGACATGAGGTCGGAGCGGCTTAGAGACGGGCGCTGCCAGGCCTGGCGGTGCGGGCGGGCGGGGTCGCTTCTGCCCTCTAGCGGCCTCCCCTTGAGCGGCAGCTCGGACTTCCTACAGGCCCCTTGGCCTTCCCGTGCTGGGCCTTTCACCCGGAGCCCAAGGCCCGGAGCTTGCCCCGTGGCAGGGACTCGCGAAGCCCCGAGAGCACGACTTGCGAACGTGTTTCCAGTCACTCTAAAAAGCAGGGTGATGATGACTGTCCAGTAAGAAGGAAAAGACTGCCTGAAGCAGAGCTCTGCACTGGCCCTAATGAGTGGATTCTCTGTACCCATCAGGATATGGAGTCGCTGGGTGAATCCGTGCCCTAGTGGGCCTTCTGTACCAGGCGTGTTAGGTGCTGTTGGTGAAGAGATGGATCAGACAACTGGAGAACCACAGTGTGAAGTCTGCAGGAGATCGAGGACAGGATAATTGATGATGAATAAGTTGAAGTTGAAAGACATCTCCCCAGCCTTGTCCTTTCTGATACCGTGAAAACAGGTTTGAAGCAAGAATTTGATGAAGTCTTTACAGAGATGATGGAGTCCATGAGCCATCCTTCCGTGGAACTGCGCTCTGGAAACCTCTCCCTGAACTCCTTTCTGATAAGGGAAAGCCACCATCTAACGCTAAAACCCTCATGGGGGGAGCCACACCAGGCATGCAGCTGCTGGCACTGCCTTCCCGTGCAGGACTGAACTGTTCTTGGAACCTCCACAGGCAGGTGCCTCTTTACAGTAGTCTGGAGACAGCTGCTGGCGCAGAAGGAGAGATGGAACTCTAGAAACCGGTTTCTCTGCTAAATTTGTCAAAATTTGAAAGGCCCCCACGTTCAGTAATGAGCCTGCTCCGCATAGTGTCGGGACTTGAAGGTTTTATGAAACATCCGTCATGATATGTCTGCCTGTGGCTTGGGTGGGACTCGCCTGTCGGGGAGCCGTGTGTGGAAGTCAGCTTTCTGCCGTGGAAGCTTGTCTCAAGGGAAAGCAGTTTTCGAGCAGATTTCTTAAAAGAATTTTACGTTTTAGTCTTTTCAAAGAAGGGTATAGAAGCAGTGTGTACGAGTGATTAAGTCATCTGTCACAGTGATTAAGCCATTCATCCACTTGGAGACACTCGAGATAAAAAAGATGATTAAGTAGGAAGGGTGCTCCCAACCACCAGTGTTCCCTGGGAGTCACAGCTTAAGACTGAACTGTTTCAGGCTGTGACTGTGTGACTGGGAAGCGGGAGGGAAGAAAGCAGTGGCTTAAGCCTGTTTGTAAGAAATATAACTGAGGTCATGAAACTTGTGTATCAGTTTTCAGTTCAAAATAGCTGTATTGAAGGCCGGGGACTTAGCTCAGTGGCACCGTGCCTGGCTCGCAAGCGCGAGGTCCTGAGTTTGATCCCCAGTACCAACAAAAGGGGGGGTGTCAAATTGAGGGATTTAAGAATTGATCATCTTTAGTGAAGAGAAGAACATAAATACCAGATTGAGCATTGTTTTTCTGGTGTGAGAAACTGAATGAGGAAATAAGGACTGAGATGTATGATGGATGTTGGGAAATGGGAAGAAAGTGTTCGGATGGGAAGGGGAGCAAGGGAGGAGGGAGGGAGAAGGGAAGGGAGGGACAAGAAAAAATGAAACTGGGAAAAAATGGAAACAAAGCTTTTGTACATAGAGAGGGGAGGGGTCTTGACAGTGGGAATGGGATAATATAAAGTTCATTTATTTATTTATTGGTACCAGGGATTAAACTCAGGACCTCATGCTTGCAAGGCAGGCAGTGGAACCACTGAGCCAAATCCCTGGCCCAAAATTAATTTTTTAAAAAAAAGGTTGGGAGACCAAAACAAAAAACAAAAAGCAAAAAAACTAGGTTGAGGTACTAAAATTTCTTTCACACTCTCAGTGATAGAGATCAGATGTTGCTGTAGTTGTTATCTGCCGTGAAATCCATAAAGCTGGGACTTAACATATCGTGGCTCCTGATGTATCTTGAACTACCTGGCGGGTACCATGGTGGGTGCTCAGTAAGTAGCGGTTACGTGAATGGACGGTTATTAAACACTTGTGACTCATTAGCCTTCTGGAAATACAGTATTTTAAAATCTGTAGCATAGTAAATCTAAGAAATTAGAGCCAGTATTCATGAAAAGAGACTGCCGTGTGGAGGACTGCATTATGAAATTGACTTTGTACCTGACAAAAACACAGCCCTAATTATTCCTTGGTCTCGTTGCCCTGAAGAATCAAGCCATGTCCATTTATCTTCTGTCGAAAAGCCATGGCTTTGGTTGTCTATGCCTAGTTATTATTATTATTATTATTATTTTTTTTT